GTAATCAGATTAAAAGCATGAGCTGATTACTGAATAAGAAAGAGAGAGAAGAAAAGCTAGTAGTAAAATAGTAAGTAGTAAGGCGGCGTCGGCGACAAGCAACGAGTGAAATGAAGAAAATAGAGAAAGAAAAAGAGAGACAATGGTGACCAAAATAGAGCACCAACAGTCTTACCTGTCCTGTGGAGAGGTTGTTGTTGTTTGGTGCTGCTGCTGCAAAAAAAAGCAGAATGTCAAGAGTCACCGGCGCCGAGTCATTCTCTGTGGTGAGGTTAATTGGAGGTGCTGGTGACTGACTGTCCCCACACACACTGTTNTGGTGACTGACTGTCCCCACACACACTGTTGAGAAAGGTCAAAATCAATGGCCGAGGAAGGAGGGCAACAGGTAAGAAACCGACCAGGAAGAATGACACACCACCAAGGAAGACGCTGTCCAACTGCCTCCGTTTTTGTCACCCTCCACAATGAACAAAAAAAATTGGAGGCTGATTGAGCAGGTGACACAAGTGCTGAATGGTCGCCGAATTGTCACAGGTGGAAATAGCTCGTGGCGCTCATGATCTCAAATGATTCAAAGAAGAAAAAAGCGGTAAATTCTAAAACCCAAAAAGACAATTCGAAAAATTCACCAAAAAATGAGACTTAAAAACTGTAGCAGCGCTTAAAACGGAATCATTTTTGAAAATTGGAGATTTGATTGATGCTGATTTGTTTCTCTCTGCAGCATTCGCAGATGATGTGACCGCCAGGGCGAGAAAATAGGCATCAGCCAGCAGCCAACAGCACGACCTCACACTTCTGTTTTGGTGACGCCAAATACTCTCTTTCTCTCCCTTGCTCTGTATCTCTTTCTCTGCTTTCAGTGCANTTGTTTCTCTCTGCCGCATTCGCAGATGATGTGACCGCCAGGGCGAGAAAATAGGCATCAGCCAGCAGCCAACAGCACGACCTCACACTTCTGTTTTGGTGACGCCAAATACTCTCTTTCTCTCCCTTGCTCTGTATCTCTTTCTCTGCTTTCAGTGCAAACTTTTGAGTCGCCTGTTCCAGTTTTCAGCCTTCACCGCCACGCTCCAGAAGGATCCAGACTCCTTCTTGGTGGTTTCTGAGCCTATTGTTATTGTTGTTCTTTGGTAGTTCTTTGTTGACGTTGCATCTCTCTGCGCCTTTTCTTGCAGAAACACAGGATCATGAGCAACATAGCCACCAAGCGCATAAAGCGAGAGTTCCTCGAATTGCAGAGTGAAGACGGCAAACTCTTTCACATTGAAACGGTGAACAGCAACGTCCTCGATCTCAGAGGGTACATCATCGGCCCGGTGGATACGCCATTCGCTGGCGGCGTCTTCAACGTTGAAGTCAAAAGTGAGTCTAAAAACTGTTGTTTTGCTGTAAAACCGTAACCCTTTTCCTCTTTCCAAACCAGTTCCTGAGACGTATCCCTTCAACCCGCCTAAAGTTCGGTTCACCACCAGAATATGGCATCCCAACATCTGTAAGTGTTTGGCCGTAAACTGTTGTTTCGTATTCTCATGCATTGCTTCATTTTCTCTTTCTCTCGTAGCTTCTGTCACTGGGGCAATTTGTTTAGACATTCTAAAGGAGAATTGGGCTGCAGCACTGGTATGTTCAAGTTTAGCCTTGTGTGTACATTTTACTAATGTTTGACTGAAACCTCTTTTGCAGACCTTGCGTACCGTTTTGCTCAGCATTCAGGCGCTACTCGCCTCTCCCGAACCAGACGATCCCCAGGACGCCGTCGTCGCTCGACAGTTCAAAGATCACCCTGATGTGTATCGCCAAACGGCCAGCTACTGGACGGCATACTTTGCAACGCCCGATGCAACCAAGGCGGACAAAAAGCGCTCTTATGAAGCTTACGAAAGTAAGGCTTTTTCTTTGAGCATGTTCCCCAAACCTTTATTTATTAACATGTTTTTTCAATCTTCTCAGGCAGCATCGGCAAACTGATGGAGGTGATGCAAATCGACAAGCCAACTGCCATCTCTGCCCTCTCTACCGCCAACTGGAACATCGATGCTGCAGTGCAGAACTTGCACTAAAAGCAGTGTTCCAATGGGGTGATCCCTGTGGTCCAATCCGGGTGCAACACACACAAACACACAGTTGTTAGTGGCCACTCACCAAATTAAAGCTGTTTTATTTTTTCCTTTTAACTCTTCGCTCAACACTGGCTACACAAATTGACTGAAAAAGAAAGGGGGAAGACAATTCCCGACTCTCAAGATTCGTTTCACCATTCTTTCCCGGTTATTCAACTGATAAGATCTTCCTTTTTTCTATTCTACCTTCAAGATGCTAACAAAATCGTTGTCTTTGTACTGTATTAAGACAGTTCCCTTCACACACACCCTCACACTTCAACCACTTTAAAGAAACACACTCTCACAGTCACAAGTCACCTTACTCAAAGAAAACAATGTGTACATTACTTGATAAACTAAGTTTATAAATAAAAAATGAATTCTTCAATGAAAAGTTCCGCCAGAACCAAGAAAAAGTTGTTGAAAAAGAGACGACGACTGTCCTGCCGCCTGGCGGCGAGCGAACGGTAACGAGCGGCTGAAAAGCAAAACAGCTGGCCTTTTGTTCAGCTGCTGAACCGATTCTCGCACGTGTTTTCTTCTTCAACGGTGCCCGCCATTTCTTCAGTTCTTCTCCGTGACAGTCATCCACATCACTTCACATCACTTCACATCAAACCGACTTTACTGATTGAAGTGTAAGATCCTTCTCATCGCCCACTTCTCGCCCACCTCCTTCCATGCCGCGAGCTAAAGCGGAGACGGGCTCCAGCAATGTAGCCGTGCGACGGCTGCTGTTGAAGCCCGGCAAGACAGTGGAGCCGGAGGTGCACGACCGCGCGCCGCCCGTCCAGCTGGCGGAGGGTGAACCCGTCGAGGACCCCACCGATCAGAAGAACCAGGACTGGTTCTGCAGCTGCGAGAATGCCCGCAATGAGAACTGCAAGCGAGCCAGCAAGTGGACGAAGCTGGCGGAGGGCCGTGACGCCTTCTCCTACTGGCTGGCCTCGAAGCACCTAGGCGAGACGACGCCGCAGGACTACTTTCCCATCTACCTGCTGCTGAAGACGAAGCGGCACATTGCCCGGGAGCTGCTGCGCGACATGATCTTCAACTTCCATAATGAGGTCCACGAGCTGGCGCTTAATCCGCACCGGGCGCTGAAGTGTGCCTGCGAGCACCTGGACATTCCCTGGAATGTGAAAGCCTTCTTCAGACAGGAGGCGGCTTCGGACGAGGAAGCCGAAGAAGGTGCTCAAGATGGGGGCGACAAAGATGACCCGATGGAGGGGGACTTTAAAGATGTGCTGGGCGATCGAGAGACGGAAGACCAGCAGATCATCAACCACCTGATTGACGTGATGTGCGCCCTGATGCAGTACACCTTCGAGTACTTCTCGCCGATCAGCGCGCCCATCCTCCTGGAGCTGCTCAACAGCATCTACATTGACCTGCTGAAGGTGAACGGCCTCTCGCAGAATCAGTACTNAAGGAGGCGGCTTCGGACGAGGAAGCCGAAGAAGGTGCTCAAGATGGGGGCGACAAAGATGACCCGATGGAGGGGGACTTGAAGGATGTGCTGGGCGATCGAGAGACGGAAGACCAGCAGATCATCAACCACCTGATTGACGTGATGTGCGCCCTGATGCAGTACACCTTCGAGTACTTCTCGCCGATCAGCGCGCCCATCCTCCTGGAGCTGCTCAACAGCATCTACATTGACCTGCTGAAGGTGAACGGCCTCTCGCAGAATCAGTACTTCTTCTGCTTCAGCCGCCACTGGCTGGTGCACACCTACTTGGAAAAGTTCCCCATGTACCGCAATCACATCTTCTTTCTCCACGAAATGCCCGCCCCCACCAGCTGGATCGACACCGGCGAGGCCTCCGTCACCGAGGTGGTGCGCACCAATGACCTGCGCTCCATTGAGGTGCGCCTGCAGGAGAGCAAGAAGCCGAAGAAGCCGGTCAGTGCTGCTGCAGCAGTTGCGGCGATGGAGGTGGACGACGATGTCATCGAGATGAAGCCAGAGGTGGACGTGAAGCCGCCGGTGCCTGCCGCCCCAGACAACCAGGAGAGCAGCAGCGACGACGAGAGCAATGGCGTCGCCAACAATGGCAATGGCAACAACAACAACAACGCCCCCGTCGCCGGCCCCTCCCGACCGACGACATCTCGAAGGGCGGTGCAGAAGACGGCTCAGGAGCTGAAGGCAGAGGCGAAGGCTCGCAATGCCGACGCGCTTCAGATGTGGAAGTTCAGCTACCTGAAGGAGCTGCTGGAGGAGAGTCCCTTTGAACCGCAGGGGCTGGCGAAGAAGGAGGAGGAGACGGAGGAGGAGGAGGAGGAGTGCCAGTGCGGCAAGGCCGACTGCAAGCAGTGCGCCCAGGGGGGCTGCATCTGCGGCGGCAATCGCTGCTACGTCCTCTGCCGCTGCTACACCAAGTTCATCTACGGCGACCTGCTCGCGAAGAACGCCCCCCACCTCTACCTGCCCGCCCACCAGGACCAGGCGCTGCTGGAGGAGGAGGTGGCAGAGCGGAACCGCCGCCGGGCGGCGCTGGAGGCCGAGCTGACGGAGGTGAAGAGGGAGCGCCAGCGAGAGGCGAAGGCCGCCGCAGAGGCGCGCCGCCGCGAGGACGAGGCGATCATCACCGCGGCCAATGAAGAGCGCCAGCGGCAGGTCGAAGAGATGGAGGAGAACAATAACCTAGAGGCTGCTCGTCTGGCAGGACTAGGAGGCACTGGGGGAGGGAGAAGTAGAGGAAAGAAAGGAGGAAAGAGAGGCAGAAAGGGCAAACGAGGCCGTCGCTGAGAGAACCCCAGCCAGTGTTCCACCATTTCCACCATTTTACGTCCATTTCTCTCAACCTGTATTCCAACTTCTGTTCACTCTGACCACCGCAAAAATAAAGAGACGTCTTTTAATTTAATTTTTGTTATTTCAACAACACTACTACTTTGTTGTCTTTCGTCTACATGATCCACAACAAACCACAAAACTGGGGATTTGTTTGTTGTCAAAAGGTTGTGTACAAAGAAAACTGTGGCTGTGAGGAGGAGCACACATGAGAGTTCATCAGAATCAAGGTTGTAGGTGATGATGATGATGGGGATGGGAAGGAGTAAAGAGTGAAAAGATAAGGAGTGAGACGATGAAATGGACCACAATGAGAAGGGGATGAAACATGAGATCGAAGGCTTCAGAGGAGATGAAACACAGGAAATGTTCAATGGAGTGAGAGTGGGGGTGAGGGACAAAAAAGGAGCAGGTGGTGGAGTGAACTCTACACCCGATTCAACCTCCGATTGGGCGTACTGCTGCCGCTGCTGTTCTTTGAGCCAGGCCCGCTGCCGCCACTGCTGCCGGTCCGCACTGCGTGGTGGTGGCCGCCGTTGCCGGCAGAGGCAGAGGCGCCCTCCTCGGCCACCTGCCTCGCCGTCCGACTGCCAATGGTGGCCGAGCCGTCCTTGCCCACGTACAGCGCCAGACCGCCGCCGCCCAGGCCGTAAAGGCTACTGGCGGCATCGTCAAAGATGGGCGACTCCTCGGTAAGCGCCTCCGCCAGCTTGTTGTCCGCCAGCAGCTGCTGCACGAGCTGGTCGGCGCTGACGCGCGTCGAGTCGATGGCCGCCTTGCTGGAGGCCAGCTGCTCCCCGGTCACGCCGCAGCCGCCCCCGTTGACGGCCTTCACGGCGCCCCGAGAGGGCTGCTGTTGAGACGCCTCGTGGAGGAGGTGGTTGTGGTGGCCATGGCCGCTCCGCTTGCCGCCCACTACCCTGTCCACGCTGTTGAACTTGATCTCGTTCACGGCTTGGTGCCTAGAGAAATGGAGAAAAAAAAGTTAGATTGGTAAACTTAACATCAAAAGTTCTCTTACCTCGCATTGCCAGTGTTCTCCGAATCGGCCGAGCCCTGCCTGCTGTGCGAGGGCAGACTGTTGAAGCCGGTGGTGCAGCTGATCCGACTGCTCGACGTCTGACTGGAGTTGGACCGCGAGTGGCCGGTCTCAAAGGGATCAAAGCCCGCCCCGCTGCCCACCGAATTGGTGTTCGACGTCGCAGAGCTGGTCATCGAGGGCAGGCCGTTGTTAAGGATGACCCCACTTCCACTTCCGCCGCCGCTGTTGTGGTGGTCAAAGTGGTAGGTGAAGGCGCTGCCGCCTCCGTTTACACCACCACCACAGCAGCTATTGCTGTTGTTGTTGTGCGTTGAGGATGTGGTAGAGGGCAGTGGGGTGACCGCCCCGGAATGCTGATGGTGGTGATGGAGGTGGTGGTGGTGGTGGTGACCAGGGTGGCCCGAAGAGGAGGAGGAGGGCGAGTGCTGGTGCTGATTCAAATGACTAAGCTCACCGTTGGCTCCGAATATCACAGAGGGGCCACCGGGAAGACCACCACCACCGCTTCCCCCGAGATCGACAATTCCGCTGGGCGCCAGGCCGCCATTGTGGTGCCGGTGACCGCCACCACCACCGCTGTCCGCCTTTCTCGGCCCTAGGCTTTCCAGCTCAGAGCCGTCGCCGGCGTTAAGCACGTCAGTGGAGCCCTGCTTCTGCGTCAGACAGGTCGCCTTGGGCCTGTAGAAAAAGCAAACAAGTTAGCAAAAACAGGGAAAAAGGTTATCCAGCCGAATACTGACGTTTTGAAGCAGGGATCGCCCGCCAGCAGCTTAATGTCCACCGAAACCTGGATCATGGAGTTGTCCTGGCGGTGCTTGCTGTCGTAGCCCTCCAGCAGGCCGCGGCAGATGGTGTGTCCGGCTCCGGCCAGACTGGGCAGATTCAAATCGTAGTAGCCCAGTTTGACGTACGACTTGCCACCTTTTGTTTCCTATAAATAGTAGTCAAAGAGGAGGAGGAGGAGGAGAAGAGGAAGAAATAAAAGAAGGCAATGGAGCCATTAGTCAGACGATGGAGAAGCAACAGCAGTAACAGGTAATCGTAACAGTAAAAAGTATGAAATGAAAGCATTTGTACAATTGGACAATTGCAATTGCAGACACAGACAGACAGAAA